AGACATGGCAAGACCTCAAGATGAAATCAGAAAGAGATTTCGAAAACATCATGGAATGGTTTCAATGTAACAAATTGACCTTAAACGTAGAAAAAACAAAATATCTACCATTTACCTCTTATGCCAACACACTACCGAACATAGTTCCATTAATTATCAATTAAAACTTGTTGATTCCAGAAAGTACCTCAATTAAATACCTTGGCCTAATGATCGATCGACACATGAAATGGGATTCACACGTATTAAATCTAACTCAAAAATTACGAGGATTTTTGTTTCGATTCAAAGTATTGAAACAATGGCTCGAAATTCCCTATATGACTACTGTATATTATGCTTTGGTTGAATCGCAACTCTCTTGCGATTCAACCAATTCAAAGGTATCATAGGTTGGGGAGGTATTAGGGATACCCACTTGAGATGTCTGGTAAAATATCTGGTCGAGGCAGGAATCGAACCCACGGGCGCACTACCACCGCGGCCATTTCCAATATGTTGATGGGACATTCTAAGAAAATGTGATTTATTGCTTTGGGTGGTCCGAATTCACAATTTGGACTATTGCCAGCCCCTATATGTTTGCAACTACAGTGCCCTGTCCTCTTTCTGATAATACTCTTTCTGTCCATATTTGGAATATTCATATTATGTTTGATGGGCAGTCAGGTTGGACTCTAAAATAATTAGTTAAATCTACTTTGTTTGTTTTTTTGTTCTTGACTGTTCCAATTCAATATTTCGTCTCTTGGGAAATACATTATTATTATTATTTTCACGGAAGTTTGCGCTGGTCAGGTCCTATCCCCCGAAGCCCCAATACATTTGGGAGGGCGCCCCACCATTATCAACCAACGACCACTCCCCACACCGTGGGGTAAGTGATCATTGGGTCCGAGAATCACGTACCCTGAGTAAGCGCAGTGAACCAAGAATGACAGCCTGTCTGGCTAAGATATCTGCCTTAGTGCGGCAAGCTGGTATGATTTTAAAATTCGAGAGTAGGTGAGGCATCATTCCACAATAGACTCCAGTAATTAAAACAACCATTCAACACCAAGGAATCAGTTTTCTTCATCTCCTAAAACGAGCTTCGAGCTCTTTCAAAAACAGTATTAGTTTATCAAAAACCACTTGTACATAACTTTCATACAAAACGACCAATTTCAAAGAATCTCTGGGAATATTTAACAAGTTACTTAAATGTACCGCATTGCCATATGTTTTCTTCTATCACAATGAACGTAGACGTTCATCGGAACGAGTAGTACAGGTTGTACTCAAGAATTGACATTGAGGAAACTAAATGTTCCAGATCAGTTGTTCACGAACGTATATGTTCGTGAACGTTCAACAATAAAGCGATCTCGAGAATTGGTCCCTCGGATGTCTTCAAATCGTTGATCAAAATTGAAATTGTACAATATTTTAGGGTATTTTTCAAAATAGACGCAACATATACAATATGTTGCGTCTATTTTGCAAATGGTGAATGTTCCTCAATTTAAGTTATTACAGCAAATGCAAGTTTGAACAGAATAAAGTTGAGTTTAATTCATGAGTTTTTCAAATTCACTTCGAAAAGTATTCAAATTGATGTTT